CGAAGTACACTGCTGAGGGGAGCAGCGGGCGGGCCAGGAGAGGTCTGCCACGCCATGTGGTCACCTCCGGGGCAGGCGGGAATCGAACTCATGCGGAAGTGGCTTCAGCTTCTCAGTGCTGTGCTTTAACCCGCTGTGCCACCAGGGAGGGCCTATATAATGATTTTAAGAAAAATTTCTGTATCTTTTGCAATTAAGTTGCTGGCATCATGATATATTACCCCTAAATAATTCAGCTTTATGTCTTAAGAATAAAGATGTTTCCTATAAAACACAGTGTCACTTAAGAAAAACTATCAGCAATTCCCTAATATTAATATTCAGTCCAAATACAAATTTCCTTAATTGCCCCATAATGTTTTTATACTTTCCAAACCAGAATCAATCAAATTTTGTATTTAGCAACAGATATTATTATAATTATTAATAACTTTATTTCCAATCTAGCTTGTCACTTTCTCGTATACTTTTACTGATGTCTTAAATGGGGATTTGAAATCCCCGTTAAATTCCTTAAAAGCATCTGGTTCTTTTTTGTCAGAGGTTCCCTAAAATCCATTTTCTTCACTTTCAGAAATAATAAGCTTCCTGTTTATTAAGTAAGCATAAGACTGCCTGGAATAAAGTCTAATTCCCAGGTATTGTTTGGAGTAAGCTAAGTTTTGACTTAAGGGTTATGAGCAGATGTAACATGTACAAATTCTGAATTGCGCATTTAAAGCAGGAAGTCCTCAACCCAAGGAAGCTGAGAGAGTTCATTGTGTCTGTGACTTGAATGAGAAAAAGAAAATGACATCTGTATTTTCAACAACTGAAATTTCACATTTGCTTCATTTATGAATATAGACAAAAAAAGCACAAAAGTACTGGTAGAAGCTGCAGTATTGCTACCAGGAGAAATTACAGATACTTCATATCATATAATAGGCTTGCAGACATCTAAAACATTGCTTATTGCATAACTACTTGAAATCCGAAGTTAGGCTTATTCCTAGAGCTTACTGTTATGGAGTGCTTACAGAAATACACAGATTGCTATATACCAGGGTCAAAAATGGTTGGAACTCCTCGCTTAGAAAGAAGGGCATCTTCTCCTTGCCTTTCACGATTGCTGCTGGCTGTATGTGGAACGAGCAGTGGGGCCATCTTAGGTGAGGGCTCTATTCTCAGATGGTGGCACAACCAGACTGAAAGCCTGGGCCTGCGGGAAACTTGGAATCTCCAAGCAATCCTAGATTTATACTGGAATTGCTACTTGAAAGAAGAACAGATGTCTTATCTTTTTTGTTATTATAATTTTGTATATTATTTTAGTGGGTGGACTGATAGCCTTATTAATATAAAAGCAATAATCAAATTCTGTAATTGTATTTATTTGTGATGATCTTTGTTTGAAAATCTTTATCTACTACTAGGAATAATCTTTCTGAGGATGTGAAACATGTCATTTTGTCATGTAATTTTAGCAAGTGTAGCCAGAGTGGATGGCTCAATAAATGAAAGTGAGTGAAATCATGGCATATGAATATGTTTATGACTATGTTAGGTTAATCAAATGATGCTGTATAGGTAATATGTAAAACAAGCAAAGAGTCTATGCATAGAAAAAGGGTGGAAGAAAATAACCAAAATATGATCAGTAACTGAATTTCAAGTTTTTGCATGATTTTTTCTACATTTGCTTTTATTTCCAGATTTTTATATGTGTAAATGTATATATATTATGTCATATACTATACACATGCTATATATAGACATAAGATGAAAAACATGTAATAGAAGAAAGTGGGCCAAAAAGTCAGTTGATTCCTGAGGGCCTTGGAGAAGGAAGAGGGGATATTTGGAGTCTTCTTGTCCAGGAGGGATTAGCTAGCTATCATCTGGCATAGCCTGTTTCAGGCCCTTTAGATATTCACCGTGCCATGTAAAAATCAACAACCCAGTCTGACTTTTAATGAAAGTACTGAAACTCATTATTTAATAGAAGCTATGGAAAAATTAAAAGATGGAACAATATTGTGAAATAATAAGTCATGATTCCTTAAAATATAGTAGTCAACCAAAGGACGATCTTTATTGGGCTAAAGTTTGGAAAGAAATGCTATTACTTCATCTACAGTTATACAATTAGGCAAGTTATAATAACCAGGGAATCATATACTTAAAGAGGACATATTGAGTGAAAAGCTAAGTTAAACAAATTGTGCTTCTGTGGCCATTTACATTGTTAATGTTAATTTTTTGGCTGAGCACTGAGCTGCCTTGATCATAACCCTAACTGCATAAAAATGTATGCATGGGCCCTCCCTGGTGGTGCAGCAGGTTGAAGACAGCACTAAGAAGGTAAAGCCACTTCAGCATGAATTCAATCTCCACCCCAGAGGTGATCCACATGGTATGGCAGACCTCTCCTGACCTGCCCGCTGCTCCCCTCAGCAGTGTACTTCATCAGTTGGCCTGTTCTGCTCCTCATTCTGTCTCTGGTGAATCCTCTCACTGCCCATGCACCTCTGGCCTATACCCCAGTTCTGTATGCATAAATAAATAAATCTTTTTTAAAAAGTATATATTTTTCAAACATCAGTTTTGACACCAAGAAAAGAGGCTAAGAAATATTTTTATGTGCTCATAATTCTAAAAAAATAAAAATAAACTTAAATACCAGCAAATAATAGATGTTTGATAAATGTTAATTGGTGACAATGTGTTGTCCACAGCATATTTTTTTTCCACAGCATGTTTTTTAAATTCTTAAATTTTCTTCTATTGCTATAAACAAAATTCTGCCTTCAAGTTTAAATATGTATAGGTTTATAACATTTTTAATACAGTTGTGATGAAATATGTCCACCAGAAATATGTGAAACTGAATACTGGACATAAAATGGAAGAGAAGTTAACAGCTAGTGATAACTATTAAAAAATAATCTTTAATAAACCCATATAATCATGATGTTCATACAGTTACAGGATGAACACATCTCAAAAATTTCACTTTAACTCATGAATTACCAAGGAAATTTGTTAAGATGTTGCAGCCAAGTCAAAGAATAGCTATTCAAAGGCAGCCAGGTATGTGTAAGTAAATCTGCTTAACAAATGTGAAAGATATCAAACTGGCAAAACTGGTCAGTTTTCACAGAACAAATAACAACTGAATTGCCAATGGACAAACTCTTCATATTAATGTATAAGAATAATTTGCATTATTATGACTATTCTGCAACTTACACAATTGTATTGATAAGCTAGCTCAAAGACAAAGAAAGGCACAAAGATCTCATTGAATCAGGTAACTTGGACAAAAGTTGGACAGTGTCCAGCTTTCAATGGAGACACCAACAGTCTTTTTAGTACTTTTTAAACATCTTAAAGGTTTTCCCTACATAGTTGCCTGGTCTTGAATGCTACTTACTGGCCAGGCACTGCCCTGGGTACCTTACATGTGTTAATGCATTTAATCTTATAAGAAACTTGTAAGAAAGGGTCTATTACTGTTTCCATTTTACAAGTGAGGAATCTGAGGTATGAAAAAAGATGAGTCTGTCCTGTAAGATCTCAAAGATGACAGGAGGCAGAGTCAGGCTCTGAATCCAGGTAATTTGCAAGATCTGTGCTTTCATGAATGAGAATATATGAAGTAAGAAGAATAGATAGGCTACAATCAGTTAGATTACATTAGATATAGAGGAGAGAAGAGGTAAAGATGATTGCAAAGGGTTTCCCCTGGCTTTCTGTAAGAAGAGGGACACTGGGCCCTCCCTGGTGGTACAAGGGGTTAAGTCTCAGCACTATGAAGCTATCCACAGCCACTGCAGCAGGAGCATGAGTTCTATCCCTGGCCAGGGAGCTGACCCACATGGTGCTGTAAACCTCTCCTGACAGGCCGCTGCTCCCCTCAGCAGTGTATTTTAGTCAGTCAACCTGTTCTGCTCTCCATTCTGTCTCTGGTGAAATCTGCTCATCCCCTGCACCTCTGATCTAGACCCCAGTTCTTGTGTGTGTGTGTGTGTGTGTATAAATCTTAAAAAAATAAGAAGGGGGACACTGTCCACAAACTAAAGAGACTAAGAAGAGAAGTTAATATGATTGGGATTTTGACATGTGGATTTTGAAGTAATGGTAAGATACACAAATGGAAAAGCCTAGTTGGACAGGAGATCAGAACTGGAGGTGTTAATGAGTGTTCTCAGTGCCACTCCCTACCTACCCCCCAGCAGGTTTTAATGGTGGTATTGAAAACTCTAGGGCATGTGTGTCAAAATTAAGGGACAGAATCTCCAAAGCAGAACCTAAAGCAGGTTGACTGGATAGCGTTCTCTGGGCCAGACAAAGGGGCATTCTCCCTTGTGTTTAAAGAGACACATTAAGTTGGAGTCATTCACAAGCACAAAAGGCCAGGGTTGAGGATGAAAGGCAAACACAGGACAGTTCACGGAAAGACTTTATCCAACGTGCAGTAAAACTGTCAAGCAGGGACCGGCCTCACATTTTAGAAAGAACCCTCGGCTGCAGCATGAACAATTTGGGCATATCTGGGGGCAGGAACTGAGATCACTGCGATCCAGAGGTAGGCAGCTGTTGGCTTGGGCCAGCTGAGACAGTGGCAGGTAGACCCAATTCTAATATTTGAGGGCCCGAGGGAAAGTGCTATAGGAGACGCACACACTCTAGGAATGCATAAATAAAAGTCACAGATCAAGCTACTGAACTGTCAGACTCCATTTTCCCCTCCTTGATAAATTCAGTGTCTTGTGGCTTTGGAAGGGAGGGAAGCGCCCAGGCGGGAAACACCGGATTTAGGCGGGGCTCTCCTGGTGCCCACCCGGCATAGAGCGCGACGGCGGCCCTTTCGCGGAGACCCACAGCGCCCCCTGGCTCTTTCCGCACGCTGTTCCGAGGCGCCTTTCAGCCGCAGAGAGGTGGCGGCGGGGTCCGCACGGGGCCGGGGGCGTGGCCTCACGCTGACGGTGCGGGGTCGAAGGGCGCGCGGCGTCGCTGTCATGGCGGCCTCCTTCCTGGGCTCGGCGTGGGGTCCCTCGTGGTTTGGCCTCCACGGCCTGGGCCGCCGCCGGCCGCCCCGGAGCCTGTGGGCGCGCGCGCGGCTTCTCTCGCTGTCCGCAGGGTCGGAGCGGAGCGTGGCCGCGACGGGTGCATCGGCCACCTCGGGCACAGACCGCTACTGCTTGGATTTGCTGCGGTGAGCGGAATCGGCCGGCCTCAGGCTGGAGGTTGAGGAGCAGCTTGAGGGGGGGGGGGGGGGGCGGGACTGGGCGAGCGCAGGTGGGCGAACCGCCTTCCTCGCTTCTGTCGGCTTTGCCCTTGGGTTTACTCCGGGTGCGGCTGGTGGGTAAAGTGAGGCAACGAGAACTTTCAGACCGGTCACAACGTTGTAGCAAAATTCCTTTGTCACCTTGCCCGAACCTTAATTTCCCCTTAATTAAACGTTTTTGCTTGCAAAGCTTTTTAAGATGTGCGAGATGACTAGTAATTAGCATTCTAACAGTGGCAAACTGAGTTCTTCCTCTTGTCAGGCACTATGCAAAATAGTTTACAAGTAGTTTAGTTTATCTTAATTACAAGTTGTGATAGCCAAATGTAGACCTATCACTTAAGGTTGTGAGGTCTAAAGCAGTTAGATCAGTGCGTGGTACTTAGCACAGTGAGTACAATATAAGCCATTATCCTCATATGTAACATACTAGGAAATGAGGTTTCCAGAGATCAGGGGATCTGCCTCAGGTGAATGATTAGGTCAGGTGTTTGATGACAGTATTGTTCACCCTGTTAAACTCAGAAAGGCCTGGCACATACATACTGGTCTCTGTAATCATTTGTGAAGTTTGGTTGGATGAATTAGGCCACCAGACAACCCTGGGTCATTCCTTGAAATCAGGTTGACTCTAGGGGCCTATGACTTAGCGCCTTCCTGGCCTTCTGATTTATAATGGTTGCATAGAGGCATAAAGTACCCAGTCTTAAGAATTTCTGAGAAGTACGAAAATATACTACGTTGGGGCAGTAAATTGAATTCCATTTTAACAAATGTAGCAGAATGCAGCAAAACATGCATTTCAGTGATTTGTTCTAAATCACCTTTTTTTTTGATCCCCCGTAATTTTTTGGGTATAATTTGTAGGAGAAACAAAATAGCAGGAGTGGAAATAATAGAATTATAAAAGCCAAGACTGCTAAAATGTTATATTTTTCTGTATAATCCTTATGGGGGTGATGGGGAAGTGTTTCAAGCTCCACAGTGGATTCTTGAAACCATAAATGGTACAGAACTCTCTATATACTATTTCTTCCTATACATACATATCTGTGATAAAGTTGAATTTATAATTTAGACACTAAGAGATTCAATAGTAACTAATAATGATAATTTTGTGAATGTGGTATCTTTTTTTTTTTTTTAAGATTATTCATACAGAGCTGGGGTATGGGCCAGAAGTGCAAGGGTGGTGAGAGGAGTCGCCAGAGACAGAGTTGGGAGCAGAACAGGCAGATCAAGGAAGTACACTGCTGAGGGGAGGAGCTGGTGGGTCAGGAGAGGTTTGCCATATGGATCACCTCTGGGGCAGGCCAGGATCGAACTCATGCAGAAGTGGCTTTAGCTTCTTAAGTGTGCTTAAGTGTGCTTTAACCCGCTGCGCCACCAGAGAGGGCCGAATGTGGTATCTTAACATATCTTATTGTATGTGTTGTGTGGGCTGTGTAGGTAAATTATGGGAAACAAAAATGGGGACCACTGTGTTTTTGTTTTT